TGTCTCAAGACCTGCTTCCGTCTCCTCCCCCTGGGCCAACCAGTCGGAGTCCAAGCCTTCTCGGATCCGAGCGACTTTGTCATACAGATATTGTGCAAAATCCTCGGCCCTCCCCTCCAGAGGATCCCCCCCTCCCCTCAGTTGGAGGAGAGAGCGGGTCACCCTGAAGAGGGCGGCCGGGCGATTATCTGATGACGCGTGTCATGTGATCTCCTTTTGCGACCTTTGGACAAGCAAAGTCAATGGGGAAACCAGATTCACCTAACAACCGTGTTACTAATTTAACAACTACAGTGATTCACTTAACAAATGTAGCAAGAAAAGTAATAAAATGGGGCAAATCTCACTTAACAAATTTCTCACTTAACAACATAAATTTTGGGTACAATTGTGATTGTAAGTTGAGGACTACCTGTAATTAAAGATGTGTGGACTTCAACTCCCAGAATTCCCGAGCTAGCAGATTGAACTCCTGGGCTGAGTTCAGACAGCACACAAGGCATAACTATACTCTAGTGCAGGGATAGGCAACCTTGGCTCTTTTATGACTTGTGGACTTCCAACTCCCAGAATTCCTGAGCCAGTCATGCTAGCTCAGGAATTCTGGGAGTTGAAGTCCACGAGTCATAAAAGAACCAAGGTTGCCTACCCCTGCTCTAGTGTCATGCATTAAGCAATTTTTTTTTAATATTTTTAGATCCTAATTTTCTCCTTCTTCTTGAGAAGATCCCCTTCTATTTAGTTTAAGCAAGAATTCCTTCCAACAGAGAAGACCCAGCTCTTCTACTACTTGTGCTTCCCTGTCTTTGGAGCAGACTATGCCAATGTCAACAAGGAAATTCTGCATGAATGCTGGCTGAAGAATTCTGAGAGTTGAAGTCCACACATCTTAAAGTTGCCAAGGTTGAAAGACACTGATATACATTGTTTATCTGGTTTGGAAGAAAACATCATGCTCTAATTTACAACTCAGAGAGGGAGGAAATGAAGGAAGGAGAATGTGCAATCATGATGCAATTAAAGACAGAAAGGCCTTACTATTTTGTTTATTATGATAGTATATAAAATATATACCCTGCATTTTCACTGATTTTGCTCAATTTCTGATAGATGGCATAAAATTAATAATATATACAGTGTAATAAAATGCAGTGTAAATATTAAATGCATACGTAATAAAAAACATACAACAATTTGTCATGAATAAAATAATTTATCATTTTGTCTAAAGCAGCCTTTAATCAGAGTACAACATCAGCAATTTAGTCTCCCTGGGATGCAGTTTTCTTCCTCTAAGCTAAGTGAAGAAGTTCAGATAACATGCACTAGCTTTTTAAATTATTTTGCCTTATTCACTTCTTCCTACTCCTGTGTTTCCAGGGAGACAACATGACAAATTCTACTTCCGTGGCTATCGGATT